CAATGGGCCGCCGCTATTCGTGACATCCGTGAATCCGATTCATCCAACAACAGGAGCTAATCGGATCAAGTATCAAGTAAGTAAGTTATGAGCCTCGCCGATCCGAAGGACGCCTTTCCTTGAAGTTACATTTCTTGGGATGACTGCCTTCCAATTTTTACGAAAGAATTTAGAATTCTTGCCGTCGCCCCTGACACATTTCCACGTAGGGTATTATGAGCCAGAATGTTAGCCTTTCTGTGCTTGACTGCTGAAAGTGATAGGATATCTGGACCTCGAATTTTACGCATATCGATCACGTCTATATAGTAATTAACCAAAAACGAAAATTAGAAGGCAATTCAAATAGTATCTGTGCTCAGTGGTTTTAAAGACGCTTATCCACAAGACAGCATCCTGCACTATATAAACTGTGTCTGTCTTGTTGTATGTTAACCAGTACTGCTACTTCCTATAAGCTCTTAGATCCGAGAGCTTATTCTAAATTTGTAGTCCGTGATCTATGAATTTCATCACTTTTCTATTAAAAAGTAGAGGTCCTTGCGTTTTATTCACGCATATTGGTATTCGGATTGCTAAGGCCAGTCCGTCATCAGAAGATGTAAACAAGAGGAGGGAGGTTCCTTAAGTTTACGAGAGGCGTATTCACTGGTTGTCGTAATACGCGTCCAGATAGACGTAACGGTTGACACTATCTGCTTTGGCATACTTGGCTTCAATTAATTCTTGTCACTGGTCTACCGAGGTTGCGTTACGCGCTTCAGGGAAATCTCAGTAAACCTAGTGATCACTTTCATTTGTACACATCAGGCTAGTAGGGATTCCTTCCAACCGAAAGCAAGCTTATCTTCATTAAATGGAGCCCCAGCTCGTCAACCTTTACGGCAACGTACGTCCAAGCGCCGTGGCCCGCTGCACATTGTAACAAACGTCACCCTCTTTTTCTTTTCGAATGACATCTTTCCTCTTGTGGTAGTGCTGCGCCTAAGAATAATGTGGACACATTGAGAGCGCAGATGCTTAGATGATTTGTCGATTCGAGACCGTGAGCGTAATCTTAATATGTAGATTTAGGTAAAATTTCTCGGGCAAGGTTGCGGTATGAATTAGAATGTCCTACATACTATCGGCTGCTGCTTTTCACTTGAATATATTTTTAGCCACGTACACAAATTATACTGATTGAAAATGACAGTTTCGCGAAGATACTTTATCACTTACTTCTATATAGTTGATACAGTTTGGACCATGCCTGTTTTGGCCGGGATCAGTTTCCACCGGATGTCTCAGAAATTGCTGTTGAAGGCAGGGCGCTAATAGCGGCATAAGTTGTTCACAGGTTTCTCCTTCAACTTTTTTGACTTATTGGGAAATAATCAGAGGACGGCACTGGCAAACGTTTCTATCCATTTGCACATCACAATACAAGCTTTACGGCTCCGGTTGCTAATGGCCCAAGACAAGTATCTGTATATTGCGAATCTCGCCTCTGCTGAGGGTCATCCCGCAATGTGCGACTCGTAGAAGAACCAGGGAACTTACCGTTTGCTCAACTAACAAATGCGCTTGCGTTTTTGTATTTAAATGAACCTCCGTACAACTCTTCTGTCTTAAGGGTCAGGGCGGTGCAACCCACACATTTTATGTAAAAAAAACTCAGTTGAGCGTGCCCCACGCTTTACAAGGCACCTCAGCACCAC